GGACCCCCCGCCGCCCTCCCCAAGAGACGAGCGCCCGCGCCCGCAGCAACCGAGACACCGCATACGTCAACTGGAGGACTGTTTTATTAGCACAGCAAACGCCATCTGCGCACGTTGATCTCAGGGACCGTTTTCTTAGCGTGCTTTGCCTCAGCGGCGGGGTGAGAGAAGACCGAGGGCCGGGGCTGGAGCGCGCGAGGCCCCACTGCGAGAAGCAGGAGTGGCGCCTAGCGTGAAGGGGGGCCGGGGGGCAAAGTAGAGGGGAAACTACGCGGGCTTTAGCGTTAGCAGTGCTTGGCTTAGAGCTGCGCGCGTCCTCCAATAAACGACATCTTTTCTGAATCTACTTTGGGTTTCAAGGGATCTCTCTATATTGGGGTTTGAACATCGTAGACCCGACACGAGCGAGGTGTGCGGTTTTATTTCAACCAGCAAAGTCTGGGGCTCTTCCGCATCAGGCCTCCGCGGCGGGAAGGAGGGCCTCTTCCGTCTGCTGGAGCGCGTCCACGAAGGCGACGATCTTGTCCTGCACTTCCTTCTCCAGGAAGCCGAGGTGGTCGTCCGCCCCGCCGGCGTGGGGCTGCAGCTTCAGGCCCAGCTCCTGCACCTTCTCCACTACGAACTGGTTGAAGCCCTCCCCGTAGGAGCCCACTCGCTGGCGGAACTCCTCGATCTGCTTCCCGAAGTCTCCCTTCAGGCTGGCCAGGTGGGTCGGCAGGTCTCCCTGGAGAAGGGCGTCGAGCTTCTCGCGCAGCTGCTCACTTTCCGCCAGGAGCTTGCCCCGCAAGCCCTCCGTGCTCTTCGCCACCTGGAAGGAGAGTCCCTCCAGCTGCCGCTTCAGCTGCTCCGGCGTGGTCTGGGCGTAGAGCAACAGGCGCCCGTGCAGCTCCTCCACCGCCTGATCCACCTTGGCCTTCAATTCCTCGGGGAAAAGGGCCAGCTGCCCCTTGATGTCTGCCACTTGCTGGTTGATGGTCTGCTGAATCCTATCAACGTAGGGGGAGAGGGCGGCTGGGAGGTCGCCCACATTCTCCTTCACCTTGGCCTGCAATTCCTGCACCGAGGATGCCAGTTGCTCACGCATCTGTGCAGTCAGCTCATCTGCCGTCGCTTGCAGCTGCTGGGTGCTGAGCGTCAACTTGTCTTTCAGGTTCTGGGCAATTGTGGTCATCTGGTTCTGGACCTCCGCAGCGAAGGGGCCAATATCAGTCTGGAGCTGCTCCAGGTCTTGCCTGATTCTCTCCTTCATCTTCTCCCCTTCCTCACCTAGCTGGGCATGCAGCTGCATGATATACGGGACCACCTTTTTCTGTATTTGCTCGGCGTAGGTGTTGACAGTCTGGAGGTTGTCCTGGATCAGGGCACTGGGACAAAAGGGGAGGGAGATCATTCCTTGTCCCTTTTTGCCTGATACTCTCCTACTGGACCTTCACCAGTTATCTGCCCCCCATCAGGTGGGCCTGCCCCATCTGAGTGCAGGAGAATCCACTGCCTTCTTTGGAATGGTTTTAATTCTTGTTTCTGTTGGCTACTCACTTAAGCTGCTTGCTGATTTCCAACTGCTGGATCTCCCTCACGGTCTCCTCGGCGCTGCTGCCCAGCTGGGTGAAGTACTGCCAGACCACATCAGCCATCTGCCTGGGATTGAGGCTGTCCTGGGCCCCTGCAGGGAAGGGCAGAAAGAGGTCAGTGCTGAGGGCCACCTCTCTGCGCCCCCGCTATCCTGTCCCAAGGGACTGGAGACCCTTGCCTGGACTCTCATCGCCCCGTTCCCACCCGTCTCCGGCAAAGGGGCTGCTGCTGCTGCTGCTAGTTTAGCATCCCTGGCACCTGAACCCCGGGCCGCTCCAGTTGAGCTGCCAGAACCAAGGCACGTATTTATGAGCCGCTCGCCTTTCCTGCAGACCAGCCCGAGGTTCCAAGCTGCAGAAGCATCCCCGCGTCACTCTTCAGACCTGAGCAACACAGCGTCTGTGGATGTCTTTAACCTAGCCCTCCCTGCCTCCCCAGGCAGCCAATTAGCAGAAACAGCCCCAGTCAGAGAAAGCTGAGGGAGGGTACAGGAGTTAAGGGCTGTTTGCAAGGAAAGGTGGAGGGACCGCAGGCAGGTACGAGATGGAAGATACACATACCTGCAGTGACAGCCAAGAAGCCGAGGAGGAAGGCAGCTGCCTTCAGAGTCATGGTGGCTGGCAGGGAATGGCAAACGCGGTCGTGTCAGGAACAGATCTGCAAAGAGAAGAGGCAGAGGTGACCCTCAGGACAGCACTCTGCTTTGCTGCCATCTCGGCCAAGTCCAGCAGCATCACATCAGAGGGGATTCTTGGTTCCCCCAGGCGGAGGCAAGGGAGCCAGGAGCTTCCCCAAAGGGGGCGAGCCAGAGCCAATGCCGGGGTGCCTGCTCAAGCTGGGCTGGGGAGGAACAAAGACTGCGCCTGCCTCATCCAGCCCAGTTCTTGTCCCACAACGCAGCGGTGGCTGCCTGTTCCCAGCAGAGAAGCCAGAGCGCATGACTCGCCCAGCCCAGCCCAAGAGAGGGGCAAGGGAGCAGACCCCCCCACCCCCCCGCAGCCAGAGCTCACCTCCTTCAGGCGAAGCTGCTTCTGCTCTGCAGCTCTGCCTGGGCAGCCTCTCCTTATTTATACCCTTCGGGACGGCATCTTCCAGCATCCACGCGGGGTGGTGACACCTCCAGCTCTTGGACTTTAGCAGGAGCGTGACGTGGAGGCCTGCATGGCCACAAGGTTGCCTGGTTATCTGCTGGCTCCACTGCAGGGCTTTGCACGATGCCCCAACCTCTGCCAGCAGGGAGAAGACAGCACATACCTAGCCAGGTCTAAGGTTAGGGACAGCAGGGGATGGAGCAAAATTCTCAAAGACTACAGCGATCATAAATGCATGAGGTCAGGAACGGGAGGAATCTCTAGGGGAGAAGGTTGCTCAGTGGGTACACCGAAACACTTCAGGGCCTGAATGCCCTTCCTGCACGGGACACAAGGCCAGGCGTCTTCAGCGGGATGGACGATCCAAATGGTTTTCACACACGCCTACACCCGCACACTTCAAAGCATTAGCAAAGTAGCATGGCCGCAAAGGTTGCAGGGACTGCCCTGAGTCACCTGTGGCCTGCCCTACCAGCCGTTCCTTCTGGAAAAACCCATCAGACACCCAGCCAGGTTACAGTTAGTTCCAAGGGTCAGTGGCCAGGGGCTTGTGGGACTGGCCGTGGGACAGCTGCTTAGGACAGCCCAGGAGCTAAAGGTCACCCCAGAACGCCATCCTGCCAGCGCGCAAGGCTTCCAAGGCCACGGCACGCCAAAGCACAGCTCCCAACGTCTGAGCCCATGGGTGTCTGGGGCATTGGTGGCCACCCACCCCTTTGCCCTATCACCTTCCGAGGAAGTGGAAGGGAGCAGAGTCCAGGGAACCACAGATTCAGGCCTCTGGCTGACTAGAGGACTGCCCAGCAGATGGCAGGAGAGGTGTGGGGAGAGCTTGGAGCGTGTGTGCTTCTGAAACGATGAAGCTCCGCATGTGTCACCAACCTGCTTGTGATGGAGGAATTCCAAGGGCTCACCCACCCACCCCTGCCCACCTACCCCCTGCAAAGATAAGGCCCGGGATGGGGGGAGTGAGCATTTCCCTCCTGGGCCCCAAAGCATTCCGAGGACTGAGCGGTGGTACGCTTTCTCCAGAGGCAGAAAGGCCCAGTTAAGCTTCAGGAGCAAGCAGCCTCCCTGCAGAGAGGCGGAAAGGACACACGCGCGCAACTTCCGGGACATCGGGTGGCTTTATGCTTGTAGGGCAACATTGGCTATCCTCCCAGGTCCTTCGTACGTGAATATGAAGTGGGATCTGTGTTCAGTGCCAGTTCCTTTTCCAGACTTGGTGCCTTTGAGTTTCATCATATGGTTGTGTTTACACAACACATCGAACCATAATCCAACTTACCCTAGGATGTTTTGTAAACTTGGCTCGTGCGGTTCATTAGATTGTTGGTTAGAAAAGATTATATGCCATCTTCCAAACTGAGTTTTTCTCAGGCACCTAATAACCTGAACGCTGGGGCTGAGTACACTCGGTGTGCCATGTGAACCCTGTTTACGGCTCTACTGCAAAATAGCTAGAATTTGGCTGGAGCCAAAAAGGTGGAAAGATGAGCCCTGCTCATCAGCTCTTCCTATCAGCCCCCCTCCCCGCCCAGCCACGATGGCATGGCATCGTGTCTGTGGATCACAGACTTCCATCTCTTGCACGGTCTCTCTTCAGCAGAGGAAAACAGATCCTCCTGGTTTACAGCATACAAAGCAATCAAACTACAACTGCCACAGAAAATCTAAGCTGGTAGAGGCTTCCTCCATAGACACTGCCCTTGCAGCCAGCCAACGTGTCTTTCAAATACTTGGGCAAATTATTTATGCTGTAAACCAGGAGGATCTGTTTTCCTCTGCTGAAGAGAGACCGTGCAAGAGATGGAAGTCTGTGATCCACAGACATGCCATCGTGGCTGGGCGGGGAGGGGGGCTGATAGGAAGAGCTGATGAAGTTTTGTGGCCAGCGTGAATATTGCATTAGAAGGTCTAGATGCTTTTCTCATTTTGGGATCCTACTATGCCTCGTGTTCAGTAGGTTAAAAACTTTGCTCCCAAATCACACCAGCCGAATGGTGCTGCTGATATGCTCCAAGCACAGAAAACTGTTGGGATGGGGAAATCATAAATTGGCACTTGTCCAGATTGGGATGGAAGGCAGAAGAGGCAACCAGGGCAATCGAGCAGACCTTTTAAAGAGAATCCAGACCCTCCCAGATGCCGTTTCTCTCTTCCCATCTATCCCCATCTTGCTCTGCTGAGATGGTGTGTGACTCTGCCGGCTTCCAGGGAGAAAGACACAGAGGCTCCCCTCACCAGGCTCACCAACCATGATGCCAGCAGCAGTTCCAAAAGTAAGGGGGCCCCTCCTTGAATCTCCACCTCTTGGCCTCACCGCCCTTTTGCAGTTCAACCCTCAGCCATTTGCCACCCTGGGGACGGCACTGGCCAAAGTCTGGTTGTCGTGGGAGTCCTGGCACCAGAGTCCAAGAGAATCAATGTTGTATTTCTCTGATACAGCACCCAAGTAACCAAAGGGGATCACCTGGATGGGTGCTTCTTGGAAATGGGGGTCAGAGTTCAGGCCTAGAGCTTCTGACAATGCCCCTCTGCTCTTGCCTCTGAGCATGTGCAGGGTGCCTCTTCCCCTCCCTCAGATGAAACTGGCAACACAGAAACGCCCACTGCTTGGATTAGAAGGCCTCCCTCTTGCTGTGGAACTAAGCCAGTTTGTTTAACTGACCCCTGGCTGGCCTGGGTATGTTATCTCAGGATCACAGTCCAAGGTGATGCCGGTCTGATGTGCAGGACGAAGGGGCACCAGCTTAGCAACAGCCTGGAGGGTTCAAAGATGATCTCTCTCATGCTTAGAGGTGTCTGCGCTGCAGGGCGCAAGATGGCCACAGGCTGTCAGAGTGTACCTGATTACGCAAGAGGATATGGCAGGACCTTGAAGAACATTTGGGAAGAAACAGCTGCCCGGCACAACCTTTGCCAGGAACCAAGCCCCTTCACCATAAAAGACCTGATGCCTAAAAGGAAGAAGAGAAGGAAAACGCAGCGGGATCCTCGTCCTTGCTTCGGGAAGCCATCCTGGGCGTCAAAAAAGCTCCTGATGTTGCACCGATCCCACCAATCTAGGCCGAGCCTCCCAAGATGACGCTCTCCCCACAGCAGGTTTCTCAACCTTCGCAACTTTAAGATACGTGGACCACCTCCCAGAGTTCCCCAGCCTGCATGGGAAATAGCTGCCCAGAGGATGGAGCTAACCAGGCAGGTTTGGACCCCTGGTTTTTGTTCGCTGATTTCCTGAGAACAAAATTATCCCTGAAAGAAGAGAAAGCTGGCACAAGAAGCAAGCTGGCACTGGTCCCAGTGTAGACAGCAGTTCCCCAGCTGCCCAATTTCAGGCCCTTTCCGGGGGGGGGCATTCGCCGACCACCGGCAATGCTTCCTGAGAGAGGCTACAAACAGGCCTTGGGATCCTCTCCACAAATTGCCAACGGATTGCGAGGCCCCAAATCAGGAGATCACGGAAGAGACAGAGGGTCTCCATGTTGTCCGAGGTGCCCCACGCTCAGACACAGGCACTTC